TATATATATATATATATATATATATATATATATATATATATATATATATATATATTTATATGTTTTTTTCTATTGATATGAATCAACTGCGTGAATTTGGTTGTCAGTAAGTGTCATCTTATTTGTTTATGTGGATTTCCTTTTGATATAGCTTGATAAATATCAGTTTTGTTCTTTGTATGAATAGTTGTCTGCAATTTGTTCCATATTTGTTGTGAAAGGACACAACACGCATCCATTAGTATAAAATAAAAAGCTTAAAAAAGGTTGCACTCTAACCTCCAGTGATTGTAGCCTCTACTTCAGGAGGGTAAAACAGAAATTCTTTGGATGAAGGTGTGACTGTGATCCTCTCCCCAGCCCTGAAATAGCCAACACAGCCAAGATATAAAATTAAGACCATGAAATTAGTAACTGGTAGGAAGAGACAATGTGATACATGTTCTTTGCACATGATTTAACAATATTTTTTCTAACACAGACAGAAGAGGAAAATGCTTGCAAACATTCTCCAAAGATCCTACCGTGCCCAGTAGGAGAATTCATAGTGGAAAGGCTCATGGAGTTCATCTGGTTTCTCTTCCACAGGGGGGCTGTTCTCGTCTCCTCTTTCTTCCCTCTCCTTCTTACGGTCAGCTATTTCCAGAAGCTGCTGCTCCCATCGCTGCTCCTCATTTGTGCGCAGGGGCCCCAGAACCAAAGCAGGCTCACTCTCAATGGACGATCTGCCAAAACGAAACAAATACCACCAGGTGTATGGAAGGCAACAGCAAGAACTCAAAACAAACAAGATATGCATTACTCTTTTAGAAACCCATTATAATGCTTCCCCTTACTCACTTGATGGTGACAGTGACATCCAGCATCTTATCAGTGGTAATGAGTCCTGTCATGTGGTGTCTAACAGCAGTCAGGGTTAAAATGCTTGGGGCAGACCTAAGGAATAAGGGCAAAAAAAATGAACCCCTTTTCATTCAACAATGTTACACAACATGCAAGTGCTGCAAAAGCACCAGATCAAAAGGTAGAAAGCTGTGGCAGCTACTTTGATTTTAATAAAATGCTTGGCAACGGCAGTTACATACGTGTTGTAGGTGTAGTAATCTTGTTCAAACTGGTGACAGGAACGCGGAGTCACTTTATAAAGACCTTAGATTAAAAATAAATATTTTAAGCACTGCAGGCTTTATGGACTTAATGAACTTACAAAACAGAAAAGGCTGAGCTCACCTGGCTTGGACAGACAGAAGCGATTGACTCCTTTGGACAGATTGTAAATGCCAACGTTCTCTGGTGAGCTGCCATCTTGGAAAAATTCCTAAAATTTTGGTCAAATATGCCATCATCAGCATTACTATTTTAGGCTTGTAACAGCTGATTTTGGCAACTGTGTTCAGTCATCTTTAAATATTGAATGTTTTCAGGCCTCACCAGAGTAATGGCATGGGACAGTGAGCAGCGCAGCAAATATCCGGTTTGTCTGAACTCCACTCCCTCCACGTATGAGTCAAGTACATCGATCTCCACTGACTTTTGCTTCCAGCACCACTCTTCTTGGGTGATAGACACTGTGATAACCAGAGGTTGTTAAATTTTTTTCTTAATCTGAATTTAAAATCACATTAAATACAATATGTAAAAACAACATTATTTATCATTTTGCTATTTTTGTAGTTACAAATAATTAAAATATATTATTGTTCTTTAAAATTAAAATTGAATAATCATGATTATAATAATATCCTATCTTATGTTACTATACAATAGTAATATTACAATAGCAATGTATTTGATTCTTAAAGGGATAGTTCACTCAAAAATGAAAATTACCCCATGATTTACTCACCCTCAAGCCATCCTAGGTGTATATGACTTTCTTCTTTCAGACGAATACAATTGGAGTTTTATTAAAAAAATGTCCTGGGTCTTCCAAGCTTTATAATGGCAGTGAATGGTGGTTGAGATTTCGAAGCAAAATAAAGTGCATCCATCCATCATAAAAAGTACTCTACACCGCTCTGGGGGGTTAATAAAGGCTTTCTGAAGTGAATCGATGCATTTGTGTAAGAAAAATGTCCATATTTAAAACTTTATAAACCATTATCTCTAGCTTCCACTGTCGTATGCGCGGTTACGAGAGAGTTGAGTTCCAGCGGATGATGTAGGCATAGCGTAAGCTCCGATGAGAAGTGAAGAATGCGGAAGCGCAGAGGAGAGAGCAAAACAAAAAAACGGTCACGAATTAGAAGTACAAAACGAGGATTTGTAAAGAAAAATGTCGCAGGATTTCGATATACTGTAAGCCAAGAGGAGACTGGTTTTCCTTTGCTGTAAACAAAACTTGGTTCTCGCGAGACTAGCATATTCTCACCGGAGCTTACGTTACACCTATGTCCTACGCCATCCGCTGGAACGCCACTCTCTCGTGAACACGCATACGACAGTTAGTGGAAGCTAGCGATTACGGTTTATAAAGTTTTATAAAGCCAGAAGGGGACGGTTTTCCTTTGCTGTAAACAAAACTTGGTTCTCGCGAGACTAGCATATTCTCACCGGAGCTTACGTTACACCTATGTCCTACGCCATCCGCTGGAACGCCACTCTCTCGTGAACACGCATACGACAGTTAGTGGAAGCTAGCGATTACGGTTTATAAAGTTTTAAAGGGGTCATATGATGCGATTTCAATTTTTCCTTTCTCTTTGGAGTGTTACAAGCTCTTGGTGCATAAAGAAGATCTGTAAAGTTGCAAAGACTAAAGTCTCAAATCCAAAGAGATATTCTTTATAAAAGTTAAGAATCAGCCACACCTACCTAAAACGGCTGGTTCGAACACGCCCCCACATACCTACGTCACTATCTGGAAGATTTGCATAACACCGCCCAAATGTTCACGCAAAGAAAGAAGGCGTAACTTTTATTCTCGCTGTAGTATTGTTGTCGCCGACCATGTCGTGAAGGCACTGTGTGCTTCGTTGTGAAAGCGAAACTACTTTGTTTGGCCTTCCAAAAGAGGATGATATCGCTTCGTCATGTCTGGAGCTGAGCCGTGCTGGTCGCTGAGCAAATACTTCAATTTCGCGCTGTGGATCGCCGGATCGGCTTTCACCGTGGACGAAACGGAGTCCAGCTTGGGGTCGTCACATGTGGTTGCTGCAGGCATCACAATATGGTAAGGGACATAACATTTTCATCACACGACGCTTGAGGAATTCGGCCAATCACAACGCACTGGATAGCTGGCCAATCAGAGCACACCTCGTTTTTTCAGACCGATGAGCTTTGTAAAAATCAACGCATTTCAGAAAGGCGGGGCATAGAGGAGAAACAATGATGTACAGTATGTGGAAAATAATGTGTTTTTTTAACCTTAAACCACATAAACACACTTCATTACACCAAATACACAAAATAATGTTCTTTTTAGCAGCATCATATGACCCCTTTAATTATGGACATTTTTCTAACACAAACGCATCAATTCTCTTCAGAAGGTCTTTATTAACCCCCAGGGCTGTGTGGAGCACTTTTTATGATGGATGGATGCACTTTATTGGACTTCAAAATCTCAATACCCATTCACTGCCATTATAAAGCTTGGAGGAACCAGGATATTTTTTTTTATATAACTCCAATTGTATTTGTTTGAAAGAAGAAAGTCATATACCCCTAGGATGGCTTGAGGGTGAGTAAATCTCTTTTTGTTCTGTATAGTCTACGAAGAAGAATATAAGTTGAAAAGATTTTCCAAGCAGATGTTTAAGACATTTGACGCACTACTAACCCGGTCATACACTTGTGTGTTAGTTTATCAGGGGGGTTAGATGTAATTTTATGAGCATTGCTCACCTTACCCTGCATGCATGCAACTGATATACTTTTCTGTAGTCCTTAATAAAGTGACTATATTTGTACTTCATTATTTGGCCATTGTTTTGTTTTGGTGGCTTGGTTTATAATTCAGTTGAGGTTAATGATAAACCAGCAATTTTAAAAGCTGTTACCAAATGATTCAAGCACTGAAATACAAGGTTTGTCTCCTTATCAGAGCGAGGCTCTATTAATGTTAAATTCACCATAGCAAATTCTTACTCCTGTTCTAACATGCACAAAAGGCATGCTTTAAATTAGTATACTAAGCACTGAAATGTTTACATACAACAACTTGTCTGGAGACTTGCTTTGACTTGTCTTGGAGCTTACAGTAGGCCTATCTCAAGTATATTTACAGACCGTGTTGAAAAAACCAGCATATGCTGGTTAGGTATGTTTTGAAGCTGGGATGCTGGTTTTAGCTGGACCTTTGCTGGTTTAAGCTGGTCCTTAGATGGTCTTAAACTAGACGGACCAGCACATGACCAGCTTAAACCAGCATCCCAGCTTCAAAACATACCTAACCAGCATATGCTGGTTTTTTCAACACGGTCTGTAAATATACTTGAGATAGGCCTACTGTAAGCTCCAAGACAAGTCAAAGCAAGTCTCCAGACAAGTTGTTGTATGTAAACATTTCAGTGCTTAGTATACTAATTTAAAGCATGCCTTTTGTGCATGTTAGAACAGGAGTAAGAATTTGCTATGGTGAATTTAACATTAATAGAGCCTCGCTCTGATAAGGAGACAAACCTTGTATTTCAGTGCTTGAATCATTTGGTAACAGCTTTTAAAATTGCTGGTTTATCATTAACCTCAACTGAATTATAAACCAAGCCACCAAAACAAAACAATGGCCAAATAATGAAGTACAAATAAAGTCACTTTATTAAGGACTACAGAAAAGTGTATCAGTTACATGCATGCACGGTAAGGTGAGCAATGCTCATAAAATTACATCTAACCCCTCTGATAAACTAACACACAAGAGTATGACCGGGTTAATAGTGTCAAATGTTTTAAACATCTGCTCGGAAAATCTTTTCAACTTATATTCTTCATCATAGACTATACAGAACAAAAAGACAGTTGTGGATATGGATGCCAATGTTTCTTTAATGCATCTTAATAAATCCAATTGTGCATTCATTTAGACTGTTCAACTGAAAGTTAGGCATCAATAATCGTTCTTTACTTCGACTTACACGAAAGAACCAACATCAACAAAACGTTCTTGATTACAATAGTAGCTAAAGACCTAAATTCACAAAACATGACCTCCCAAAAAAATGGAACTAAAATTTACAAAGAGAGTTTTCATGAACACTGATGAGAAAGGGGCGACTGAATAACTGAAATGCTTGCCTCTACAGAAAGACTGACTACAGGAACTTTAAATAATTGATTTTTTCTTGATACACAAGCGAGAACAGCTCCTTCTAGATGTTCTCATAACGGTGACCTGAATGAGCATCTTAACAAACAGTAGCATTTCTATGCTATACCTTTACCTGTAATTTAAGAATATTGAACATAAAATGCCTGTATTTGAATGGCAGAATAACTTTGAAGAGGTCCTATATTCATCAGAGGCCCCAAGACGAGGAGAACATGGAAGTTTCTACAAAAATAAGAGGAGAAAATAGCCAGCACTGCAGTCTACGCAACTACAGTTGATCTTTTCTGCCATCGGTAAGCGCGGGATTCATTTCCGGGCTCGGAGTGACTTGCGGGCGGCTGGCTTAGCCTTCACGGCAGATTCAGTTGCCTCCTTCTTAGCTGCTTTGGGCGACGGCCGTTTGGACCCCCTGCTTGTCATCTTTTTGGCTACTGGTGTTTTCGGTTTACTGGTTGGGGCAGCTTTCTTGACTGGTGTGGCTTTCTTGACTGGTATGGCTTTCTTGACTGGTGTGGCCTTCTTGACTGGTGTGGCCTTCTTGACTGGTGTGGCCTTCTTGACTGGTGTGGCCTTCTTGACTGGTGTGGCCTTCTTGACTGGTGTGGCCTTCTTGACTGGTGTGGCCTTCTTGACTGGTGTGGCCTTCTTGACTGGTGTGGCCTTCTTGACTGGTGTGGCCTTCTTGACTGGTGTGGCCTTCTTGACTGGTGTGGCCTTCTTGACTGGTGTGGCTTTAACAGGCGCTGGTACCTTTCGAGACGCTGCTTTGCTCACAGCGGCTGGTTTCTTGGCTGGTGGAGGGGCTTTCTTGGCCGATGCAACTGATCTCTTTGAAGCAGGAGGTTTTCTGCTGACTGTTTTAGCCCTTTTATTTTGACGAGCTTTAGACGCAGACGTTCGGTTTGCACGCTGGGTCCTGTAGACAAACAAAAAGCATGTTTAGCCTTGCCCAAGCCAAAAGTCTCTATGACATTAGATAATGTCACACTGATACTGTTATGTGATATACTTCACCTCTTTCTTCGAGGAGGCTCATCCTCATCCGATTCTTCCTCTTCAGATTCTTCTTCTGCCGCTTCTTCGGATTCTTCATCAGATTCATCACTTCTCTTGCGTTTGAGCGTCTGTCCTTCCTTCTGTTTAAGTTTTGCCATCATTTCTGGAAACAGAACTGCCGGGCTGCAGAGAGGAGAAGTTTATTCAATTTTATCATCTCATAGAATGCCTTAAAATTTCACCTTTAAGGCACTTCTATGACAAAATCAACAAACCTCAAAAACTACCTCAAGAAACAATTATGTGCACACAATCCAAGTTCACCCCAAAACCCCAAACCTGTATAACTTTCTTTTGTGCAAAACAAAATATTGTCTCAGAATAGTTTTGGACCCTATTGACATCCACTGTATGGACAAAATGGCTGAAACATTCTTCAAAATATCTTCTTTTATATTCCACAGAAGAAATCATTGTCACTGAGCTTTGAAAATACATGACGGTGAGTAAATGATGACAGAATTTTCATTTTTGGGTGAACTATCCCTTTAGGAACTAAGATTTGTGGAGTTTTTATATTTTATTAATTTTATATTTTCAGTTTAATTTTAATTGTAGTAATTTCTTATGTGCTGCAGTCATTTCTGTTAGTTTTTTATATTTCTATTCAGCTTTAATTTTTATTTCAGTTTAAGTATTTAAAGCTTCTTTTAATTTGATTTAAAACTACTTAAAACGTCTTTTATTTCTGTTAGCTGCCAAGGCAACATTTTTCAAGTACTAATTATGTTTCATTTTATTTCAGTTACCAAAAACAATTTTTAACAATTTTAGTTTTAGTTAGCAATAACAAGCTGGCTTAGGGTGAGCTAAACTTACCTTGGGTAATACGGATAGCTTAGCTGGTATGACCCACTGAGTCCATGACCAGAAATCTGCTCCATCCATCCCATCATTTTACACTTCTGCAAGGTTCTTTTCAGGTTTGACACTGGCAAGAAGATGTAAAATAATCGTCAAAATTCTGCATAACACATTACGATCAGCAAATACAGACAGATATGAATGGTGTCTGTAATATAAACAAGGGCATATCAGAATAACAGAAACTATGTCTGTAACAATGTTCTTGTGAACAACTCATTTGAGAATAACAATTAGAAGCAACCCTAAAACAAAAGCAAACTTAAAGGGGTCATATGATGCGATTTCAATTTTTCCTTTCTCTTTGGAGTGTTACAAGCTCTTGGTGCATAAAGAAGATCTGTAAAGTTGCAAAGACTAAAGTCTCAAATCCAAAGAGATATTCTTTATAAAAGTTAAGAATCAGCCACACCTACCTAAAACGGCTGGTTCGAACACGCCCCCACATACCTACGTCACTATCTGGAAGATTTGCATAACACCGCCCAAATGTTCACGCAAAGAAAGAAGGCGTAACTTTTATTCTCGCTGTAGTATTGTTGTCGCCGACCATGTCGTGAAGGCACTGTGTGCTTCGTTGTGAAAGCGAAACTACTTTGTTTGGCCTTCCAAAAGAGGATGATATCGCTTCGTCATGTCTGGAGCTGAGCCGTGCTGGTCGCTGAGCAAATACTTCAATTTCGCGCTGTGGATCGCCGGATCGGCTTTCACCGTGGACGAAACGGAGTCCAGCTTGGGGTCGTCACATGTGGTTGCTGCAGGCATCACAATATGGTAAGGGACATAACATTTTCATCACACGACGCTTGAGGAATTCGGCCAATCACAACGCACTGGATAGCTGGCCAATCAGAGCACACCTCGTTTTTTCAGACCGATGAGCTTTGTAAAAATCAACGCATTTCAGAAAGGCGGGGCATAGAGGAGAAACAATGATGTACAGTATGTGGAAAATAATGTGTTTTTTTAACCTTAAACCACATAAACACACTTCATTACACCAAATACACAAAATAATGTTCTTTTTAGCAGCATCATATGACCCCTTTAATTATGGACATTTTTCTAACACAAACGCATCAATTCTCTTCAGAAGGTCTTTATTAACCCCCAGGGCTGTGTGGAGCACTTTTTATGATGGATGGATGCACTTTATTGGACTTCAAAATCTCAATACCCATTCACTGCCATTATAAAGCTTGGAGGAACCAGGATATTTTTTTTTATATAACTCCAATTGTATTTGTTTGAAAGAAGAAAGTCATATACCCCTAGGATGGCTTGAGGGTGAGTAAATCATGGGGTAATTTTAATTTTTGGGTGAACTATCACTTTAACGTTCTCACTTTTTCTATTTTGATTAATTGCATAATGTTTAGCTGTTTAGAACCTACCCAAGGTCATCTATTATAATACATCATAGATTTATATATGGGTTAAATTTGAGAAAAATAAATTAATTAATTAATTACACACATACACACACACACACACACACACACACACACACATTATAATACATCATAGATTTATATATGGGTTAAATTTGAGAAAAATAAATTAATTACATAATTACACACATACACACACACACACACACACACACACACACACACACACACACACACACACACACACACACACACACCAACAACAACAACTCCAAAACAAATGCTGACTATTTTAACTATCATTCAAAGGTTTGGGGTTGGTAAGATCTTTTTTTCAGTCTTCAGTGACATATGCTCCTTCAGAAATCATTCTAATATGCTGAAAAGGTGCTCAAGAAAAATGTTGTATTATTATCAGTTAAAAATTATTGTACTGCTTAATATTTTTGTGGAAACCTTGATACTTTTTTTCAGTATTCATTGATGAATAAAAAGTTAAAAATGAACAGTATTTATTTCAATTAGAAATGTTTACATTTTTCAATAATCTAAACGTCTTTAGTGTCACTTTTTTATCAATTTAATTCATCCCTGCTGAATAAAAATATTAATTTGACTGCAAAATTTGAATGGTATTGTACGTATTTAATACCATAATGATAACCATCTCTATTGCTCATTAAAATCAAAACATGCCAAAACAGTGCTTACCTTTGTACTTCCCGGGTAACACATTATTGAAAGTAAAGCTGAGAGTTTCACTGCTGCCAGACAACTGGAGGTTATGCCTCTCTCCCTGTCTGCTCACAGGCTGAAGAGTGACTGTCAGATCTCCACATGCCACTGATGGGACAATTCAATCACTTGAGCCAAAGACAGAAAACACATTTATCTAATTGAATTTGACAGCGGACATGAAAAACCAGCTCACCAAGACAGGACACGGAGCCAGAAACAGATGCTATGAACTGAGTGAAGAGAAGGTCAGTGATAGGACGATCCACAAGTGAGATATCGAGAGAGTATGGCTGAAGAGTAAGCCCAGCCTTCACATCACTTTCAGGGAGGGTCACCTGGACAGCACACAACAATCTAAATTAACATGCAATTACGCTAATTTTAAAGTCATGTGGCGTCACAACGTAAATTCTCATTACCTGTACACTGTAGTCTCCTGGTTTAACTTGAAAGCAGAACGCTCCATGACTGTCACTTTCGACAGTGCGGAAAAAGCCCTGATCCTGTCTCTGAGCCGAGAGTGTAACTTTGTAGTGCCCAAGCTGTTTAACCGTTTCAGGAAGACGGGTGACTGAGATGTGACCACACACGCTAAACCTGAAAATGACAAAGTGGGGCAGAGATTTCAAATCGGACTCCTAAAGATAGAGGGCCGAGACCTAAAGTCTTTTAGGTCTCAGCTTTCTGAGGATGATTCTTGCCTGGATACTCACCCTGCAGTGATGATGTCTGGCAGCTGAGGGGTGCTGGGAGCAATCTTCACAGTGATTGGCTCAAAGAACATCAGCTCCTTGTGCGTGTTGATGGTGTAAGTGCCTGTGGTCATATTCTCCAAACGAAATGAACCATCTTCTTTAGTCTCCACTGTGAAAGAGATCAAGGAGGCAGCAAAATATAATTCAATGTGTTAATTTACCATAAATTTGTTAATTAAGCGTGAATTGTGGAGTACTTAGGACATACCCTAATATGCCTAATTATGTTAATTTCACTGATGTATATCATCACAGTTACCTTTCATTAGGTTGTTAAGCGTTACTACAGCATCTGCAACACCCTCTCCATTGGGGCTATTCAGAACTCTGCCCATCACAGAGAATCCCATGACCCGGAATATTGGCTGAGAGACAAAATAGGAAAAACAGGTTAGAAACCAGGTTAGGCTGCTGAGAAAGACTGACCGTTTTATATAGATTATTTAATTATAATTTTTTCCTAATAATGATTTAGTGTCCATTTGAACACATTACGTAAAAATTATTATAACAGTGTCCAACCCAAATTGTCAATTAAGATGTTAATTTATGTCTCCAAATCTGTGAGAACAAGTCAGAGAAATGAGAAACTCACCTCCAACGTTAAACTGCTGTGTTCTACTTTGAAATCCATACGAGAAGGAGCAACGTCAAAAGTGATTCTCTCTCCCCTGTAATATGGGACCTACAATTCAAGAAGAGACAAGTTTAAAAAAGACTGACATCTGTGCTTTATCTTTACATCATAAATAAGGCTGCATGAGATGGATGAAATTATAATCAAATTATTTAAATTTAAAGTCGAACCAGAAAGTAATAAGATACTGATCAAAAGTCTTAGGCACATTAGATTTTTCACCAGAAAATATTTATATTTTTTGCTTTAATGTACCATAAGGAAATATCAGTTTACATGTACCCCCAAAAATTTGCCATTAATTGGAATAATCCAGTAGGAATTTGTATGCAGGACAGGCCATATGATCCACACAAAGATCTAATCTAACCATCATTTCGTTATATTGCAGTGAGCCAAAAGAGCAGCGAGTAGGGAGTAATGGACACTGTGTAGGGACCATGTCAATCGGAACACAGTTCATGCACGGTGCTCACTTCTAACAGGTTGATCTGAATCAGGTGTGTTAACAAAGAGAGACGTGCAAAACATGCACAGCGGGGGTACGCGAGGACTGGAATTGAGAACCGCTGGCTAGAACAATTCTTACAAGTACAACACGACGTAGCTGGGCGCCGCGGACAGACGCCGAACGGCGCCGCCGGTGTTCCTATACTCATAGAAAATAATGTATTTGAATTTTAAAGACGTGGTGCGACACTGCACTTCTCATCCGGTGTGCGACCGCCTGAAACGCTGTTTTTTTTCACTTCCGAAAGCGGATGATGTCAGGAAACAGTGGTTGCAATTTACTTTTTAACTCTGTTCCTGAGCATTATAACCCCAATTTGCTATTGTGTGCTGCGCATTTTACTGAGGACAGCTTCCACAACACGAGGGAGTACAGTGCCGGATTCCCAAAAGCGTTTGTTTAAAGACGGAGCAAGGGGGCGTGGCAGTACTGAAACACCATCTAAGCTGTTCGCCAATCACAACGCACTGGGACAGCTAACCAATCACATCACATTTTGTTTTTCGGAAGGCGGACCTTCATCAAAGCCGGAACTAATCGAGCCGTTTGTGGCAGGCTGGGGAGAAAGGTAATGTAACGATGTAAATTATGTGAAAAATAATGCGTTTTTCGAACCACCAAGCATGAGAGCATGTTCTAGAACACCCCCAAATCAAAATGAAGACTTTGTAAAAGAGCATAATAGGACCCCTTTAAGGCCTTAATAATTAGGAACATAAGCATAATAGACAGTCAAAAACTTATGAATGTGCCAAGTAATTTGGTGCTTTAAAAATCAGTAGAAGAACTTTAAAAATCAATCCTTAAATGAACGGGCAATCCATGAAAATGACAAAACTGATGTAATGTCATCTCCCTTTCTGGACCTGAAGCATTCTGTACAATTTTGTATCAACTGAGTTTTATCAATACATATCTTAAATAAGTCAGATTTCAATAGTCAAGGAGAGAGAAAATAAAAGCATGAATGAATCAGTTTCTTTGCATTATTTAGAAAAAATAAATAAAAATCTAAGAAAAATGACCAAAA